GATAGTTTTATTATTTTTTTATCAAGAAAGTCGTAGGTCGAGAATTTTGACAAAATATTTTTCATGACGTCCAAGTGATCACACCAAGGATACTTTATGCATATTGTCCTAGACTAACACAAATAAAAAAACTGCCAAATATACCAATTAAGAATTAAACGACATCTAGTGGACAATAGCGGTATCTCAGAAAGACTTTTACAGATATCTACTATCTTTAACCGCCTAGTACAGAGAAAAGCAACATCTCTGAAGAATTTGATCAGTTATTTGGTTAAAGACCGACACATTGTCAATTTATAAAAATAAAACTAATGTAAAAAGTAAATACTGTTACAGCACCATCAAACTAACATCGGCATCTGCCCTGAGTAATACTGAAAACGTTTTTTATGCACAATATGATACACATTGATGCTGAGTTCCTAATGCATTTGTAGGCTGTAACATTATTGGTTATTTGGATTCATAGATTTAACAACAAGTTAAAAATAAGTTCATGTAATTTTTTTCAAGTAATTGGTAGAACCTCTTGATTGACATAGTGTACAAACGGATATGTTAAATAAAAAGGCATTAATTTTTATTGACAGAAACTCAGCCTAGCAAACATTCTCTCTCCGTTACTGCCATACCGAAGAACCTAGGTGAAGATCTCAACATTTTCGAACATGACAGTTTTCATTAAGACATTGTACGATATGTTTTGGATTCCTTGGGGAGTCGACAAAAAGTTATATGCAATTCAATACCGTCCTCCGAGGCATTTGATTCTGTTGACCATACCATTCTCAGACAAAATCAAGTGCTTTTGGCTTTCATGGTGAGTTACTGAGTTGACTTGGTAGTTTAAGTAGTGGATAGAAAATAAGAAGTGCAATATCTTCATAGATTATATTTGATCTGCACTTGACATGCAAGAAGATTTATGCACATTCTCATTATGTTGTCAAAAAATTATCTGCATCTAAACAATAATGAGTGTAAAAATATTCACATTTCACAAAAAAACTTGAGGTCATACATTAAACATACACTATTGAAGATGTGGCTTTTAAATCGGTATAATTGTCATCTTACAAAATGTAACGGGATCTTTAGGTACACTGAGGTAAGATAATAAATCAGCACTGTGAAAGCTGAGGTTTATTTATGAACTGATCCGAAAACTTACAAGCTTGAATGCAATCGAATATTCATACCACACTCTTGAATGTCCTATATTAGTATAAACTTCAGTGGTTTGTCAAATCATGAAAGAAAAGCACCTTTATAATATAGAAAATGTACAACAACATTTATGTCATTCGTCGCATATAATCAAAATGTTATAATGAAAAAATCTACATCTGAACCGAGGGCAATCCTTGGTACAGATTCACTGAAAACTCTCTGCCACCATGATGAGCAAACTTTTTACTGGAAATCTGTTATGATAAGTCCTTCAGAAACACTTATCTTATGAAGAGAGAATTTTCACAGATATGATATGGATTGGACTTCCCGAATGAATTCAATTATTTCATCACTAAGTTTCTTCATTCTTTCAAGAGCCCATTAAAATAAAAATTTTAATAGCTAGTTCAGAGCCGCCAGACCTTAAAATATTAGCAAAGCTAATATTTTAACGATAAGTAATCTGTTTTATAATTTTTATGTAGAATGTTTGCATATTTGATATTTTTAAAGCTGAGCTCTTTTAGAAATGTCAGAAAATCAAGTTTTGGTTTCTCACATAGAGAATAAGCGTTTCTGTGAAGTTAAACATTTTAACATCAGTTCATTGGACGAGAATAAGTTATACCTAGTTGTCTATCTCTTCATCAAAATCGTCAGGTATTTTCACGTTCTGAGGGCAATATCAATCATCACTAGTAGTAATTCAACATTAGCATGTTAAAAATATCGCTAGATATTTGTGAAAGGCTTCACTTTTGAAGTATCAATTATGAACACATGTTTAAACAAAATATTAGCTTTGTTGAAATGCCGCAGGTCTGACGGCTCTCATTTTGGAACATAATACCAGTATAGATTTAGCTTTTTAACTTCAATTGGCTCATGAATGATGGAGAGTCTGACGGCTCTACGATGTTGGTCTAAAAGGTCTTATTGAAACAGCACTTTTTGTAAAATGTTGAAGAACATATTTAAGTGAGGTATTATTCATGCTTTTGGCATTTACAAACATTTAATCGATCTGCAGTTGTAATATAATTGTGATAGGTACAGAATTTCAATTCAATGAATTTAAAATTCATATATTTAATTTAAAAATCGTTCGTTAACAGGTGAGACCTCGTTAATTCTTAGCTCGCTCAAGTTTAGACTTCTGAGAGTTGTCGTTTGTAGGGGGGGGGCGACAGATGGTTACTGGAAAATAGATTTTGAATAGATTTTTTATCATATTTTAATCAGTTCATTTACTTCTAGAATACAATTTACTGATTAGTTTTACTTTTAGGTTTGGTTATATACTATTTTAGATTTGATGTGAAAGGCTTCACTTTTGAAGTATCAATTATGAACACATTTTTCAACAAAATATTAGCTTTGTTAAAATGACGCAGGTCTGACGGCTCTCATCTTGGAACATAATACCAGTATAGATTTAGCTTTTTAACTTCAATTGGCTCATGAATGATGGAAAGTCTGACGGCTCTACGATGTTGGTCTAGAAGGTCTTATTGAAACAGCATTTTTTGTAAAATGTTGAAGAACATATCTAAGTGAGGTATTATTCATGCTTTTGGCATTTACAAACAATTAATCGATCTGCAGTTGTAATATAATTGTGATAGATACAGAATTTCAATTCAATGAATTTAAAATTCATATATTTAATTTAAAATCGTACGTTAAAAGGTGAGACCTCGTTAATTCTTAGCTCGCTCAAGTTTAGACTTCTGAGAGTTGTCGTTCGTAGGGGGGGGGGACGGATGGTTACTGGAAAATAGATTTTGAACAGATTTTTTTATCATATTTTAATCAGTTCATTTACTTCTAGAATACACATTTACTGATTAGTGTTACTTTTAGGTTTGGTTATATACTATTTTAGATTTGATGAATAAATTGTGTGCCTTTATTTTTCTTTCATTTTTCACCTATCTCTTTATTAAAGTGCTTTTTAGCCACACAAGACTTTTACATAATGTTGGAGAGAATAAAATTGTCTACAATTTATGTTCCTGAACTCTGTTTATAGAAATGATAGCTTCAGATAATAATAGTCTTTCGTACATACTCCATTTGAATATACATTTACTAACAATAAGATTTGACAATATAAAACTCAAAATTTGTTTAAAAAAGAACAATGTGTGGGATTCAATTTCATTATAAATGAGTAGTACTTTTTATGTCACAGTAATTATATTTTATGGTCTGTAGTCCAGTCAGTAAAGAATAAAAGATACCTATTTTATCTGAAATGGTAGGTGAGCGTTAAAAATGCAAAACGAGCAATCCCTCCCAGTCCACACCCTCCACCATCTTGGAAAAATCGGTACTATTTCAGATTTTCATTTTTTCAAAAGTGCATTTTAACTACAAAAGAGTTTTATATGATGTTGCAGAGAATAATAAAAGTGCCTACATTGTTTCTAGAACTGATCATTTCGGATTGTATCAGTATAACACTGTTTTAGTACCTTTTAACTAAGAAAAAGACGAATTACTGTTTTTTTAAAATTATAGTGCTACATTATATTTCAAAAAATTCACTAATCACTTTCAAGTTTTGGTGAAAATTTGATATACCCATTATAAACTACAGATTCAAGAGTAAGAATACAAAAATGAGACAAATATTACTTTTTGCTTTATTCTCAATTCTGATTATTAAATTGCAGGTAAATGACTGGTACTGATTCAATATATTGTATAAGTGTTTGTAGACAATGATAAAAGAATCACATGCAGAGATGTCAAATAATAATATATGCTTCATTTGCAATGAAGATGTGGAAGAAGATCCAACCCATAAATTTGAACGTACAGAAATTGAAGTTTGTCAAGTAGCTGCAAAAAAGGGCACAAAGAGACCACCCACAAATCTCCAGAGGGATAGAAGCATATGACGAAAAAATATTGCAATGAGGTATTAAGTAACAGGACAGTAATTTGGCTCATAGGTCAGGTTAGTTGTGAAATGTTTTCACTTCAAGTGTCACTGATGCCTTTGTGGGTAAATAATACCTGCTGAGTTTTTGTAAAAAGAAAGAAAAAGCCCCACTTGCAAAAAACATCGAGCATAAGGTGAAGGTTTTATTTTCGAAAGATTCCCAGAACCATGTAGTAGACCAATACAGAAACAAATTTCTGACAGGATTTCTCTTTACTCAACCTTGTTACAACTGAAGTACGAGTATAATATCATCCAGTAGTTTCCCAGGACTTGACTTCATGTGAAATACGGTCGGATCGCACAATGGAACACATGGAAGATATTTATTCATTCCTTCAGAATTACAAGAACACGGAAGTATGTCAATTTACACACCATTGCATCAAGGGCGAGTATCAGATTGATTCGAAAACAATTAAATACCGACCTTGAAAAGATATTTCTTGTTTTACAGACAAAAAATTCAAAAAATGCGCCAATTAATTTTTATTGTTTTTATTTTTATCGTTGTTTTATAATTTCACAAATAAAAAGTATTTTTATTCTTCATAATATTGTAGCTCAAATGGACCAAAAAAGAAGATATATGCAGAAGTTTGAAGAAGGTACCATTTTATTTTTTTTTTCAGGAGGCTATGGTGGCATAAGGAAATTGTGCATTTCAAACACTTACGTATGTCAACTTTAATATTACTGAACCACTTTTGAGTCACCCCTTCTCTTTTCACTGTATTACTATGACGGTTTGCTCATACCTACACTTTTGTAATTTATCCTTTTTTTATATCCAATTAGTTTTAATCTGTGTTCAAATATATCCAACTAACACTATTCGAAAGTTGATTTCGAATCCAGATTTTCGATAATGTAAATTTTCTACAGGTGAGAATACTTTTTGTAAGATATTAAAACTTTTCGTAGGATAACAAATATTTTTATATCATTTTTAATTCTGTTCAGTTTGGCAGAGGTACCTACCAGTCTTCTTAACTAAACAATGAGCAGCCAATAATTTCAGACTGTGCACTTCAAACAGCAGAGGGTGGAAGAGCAGCTCCTTCGCAGTAGGCCTCTCGTCTGGGTTCTCCGACAGGCACTTCCTGATGAAATCTTTCTGCGTCTCATCCTCCAGTGAGTCGATGGTCTTGCTGACGTTCTCTTCGGTAACCTTGTTGCCGGAATCTCCGTTGCCGACTATCTCTAGGGCAGCCATTTCCAAGGCGCACATCCCAAAGGAGTAGATGTCGATTGGGGGGCCCGCATGAGCTGAAATAAGTCATTCAATTCGAAATTGCTCAAAAACCTTATAAAACTGAAAAAAAGCAACCTTTAAATTCATTGCTCGATTGAGAAAAAGTTCAACAGTAATCCGAGACAATTTAAATAAAAATAAGGTTAGGAAAACAAACATTTTTTTTTTTGAAACATCCTGAACATAGTGAACAAGTTATTATAAACCCAGATAACATTGCAACTTTCATTATCAATAGGTGGAACAATTGTAGTTTCAATTTAATTGATTATTTCATTTGAAATTTCTCTAGGTACCTACAACTGAAAAGTAAGGACTCATTAAACTTTACACTTCAGTCATCATAAACAAAAAACAATTATCTTATTGAAGATTGTTTAAAGAAAAATAAGATTTGGAGAAAATAAATTAATAGTTTTTCTGAAACTCCATGTTTACTACTGCTAATTAAAAAATATTTCATTCTTTTGGTTTTATGGAAAAAAATCATAAAATTAAAGTTTATGGACGTAATACTATTTCTCACAGTAACCTTTCAGGGTGATCGTCTCTACCTTCACATATCCTCTGTTGATTTAAATTTTCTTGCACATTCAAAAAGTCAATCTTTTTTAACCCAAACTTGATCTATTATATAAACAAGAAATTTATACCTATGTATATGAACAAAAAATGTTATATAATCTGCCTCTAAAACTTTTCCTCTCTTGATGATGGTAGGTATATAGATTTCAATTTGAATTTTATACACTCGTAACAAAGTTCATTGCCTCCCAATCACTTTTTTACTAGTGTAGATACACCAGACAACCCTAACGGTTTCTTGACATGAAAAAATTGTTCGAAATATCTTAGTGACAGCTGGTTTCAATCTTTATAATTTTTATTCTCATTAAGGTACCTCATCATATACATATAGACTTTTTTTTTTATCTATGAGATAGTAACTAGTGATTTGCAAATAAAATATTAAGGTTGGTTTTTTGACGTTTGTTGCATTGCACAAATTTTAATTAATATCCTTTGCAGATAGCCTGCATTTGATTCATTTATTTTTTCTTTCATTCTCTACAATATTTATAATCAATAAAAACAGCATAAAACCCATGAGAAACGAGATATTTGCAATGGATGTGTAAAAAATCGATTCTTTGACCTTGGAATATCTATAGTCGCGAATATCCTATAATAAATAGGTTTTGAGACAAGTTTTAGGGTGTCAAAATAAAGGTGTATACACGTTTATGGCTGACTATCTCTCATTCCGAGGTGAAACCCCTAATATTTCCGGTGTAATATTGAAAACAAGATATTAAAGTCGGACAAAAATTCACATGAAAAAACAAACTTTTCAGTACTCTTTGGTAAAAAAGACACTCGTCGCCGAGGAAGTGCTACCAACTTTTTTTTCACAAATTCTCCGTCTGATACTTTTTCATTTTCGGAAATTCGTTTACAAATTGATTTCTGATATTATGAAATATTCTTGGGGTAAATTCGTGCAAACACCCTTTTTTCTATCTACGGGTTTTTAAATGGACTGCATGAACGTGAGTGTCACATTTCCCTTCAAAAAATCCAGAGCCGTCATATCAGGTGATCTAGCGTGCCATTCTGAGACACCAGATTTACCTATCCAAAAGTTTGGATAACTGTCATCTAGCTCCCTTCAAAGCAGCTTGTCGTAATGAGGACGTACCTCATCTTGCTGAAACGAAACATCAGATGAAAACTTACTTGGGTTTGTCAATTTTCTAACCGACAGGTAGGTAAACATAGTCGCTTGCCTAGCCTGCTAGATCACCTGATATGATCATTCTAGATTTTTTAGAAGGAATTTGTGACATGTGACATGCCACATGTCACATGTAAAGATACTTTATTGTCAGGAATGATTGGTGAATATTTTCAAAATAGAAAAAAAGCAATGATGAAATTAAGCATGAAAGCATCAAAATATGATAAAAAGCATGCAACAGAATTTTAAGCAGGAAACCATCACCTATCAAAAATATAATATTGTGTGCCAAAATATTTACATAATATGTACAACTGTGAATTGTATAACAGAAAAATTCTTGTTTCCTTTGCACCACTGATCTTCACTTCATATATATTACAGAACTTGAAAAAATTTCTTCCATTGAAAATGTTTCACGACATGAAGGACATATACCAAGAATAAAAAAATTTATGAATACAGTGAACCGTTATTTGATGAAAATTATTGACACTATCCATGATAATAATCATACAATTTGCACACTGCATTTTATCATTTTTGACACATTTCTAGCTTATTAAGTTAGGCTAGCTCCAGTCCTAATGATGAAGCTACTTGCCGATACAGCTACTGTGTAGCAAAAGGCGCTAAAATGAAAGCTAGTGTGAAAATTGTAAAATTATTATCATGAATAGTATAATCAAAAACTTATTTACTACTTTTCAGAATTGAACCTGACATAAAAGATAATTAATGGATGACATTTCTCATAAAAAAAGTTCAGAATAAGGTGCTTTTCTAATGTCATTACTTAAAAAGTTGAGTTGTTGAACTCCCATCTTCAAATACAGATATCTTCATTACTTGATGAGATATACAAAACAATATTGCGAAACCCAGGTGTGATGCCACCAGTGGAGCTCAGAGCCCTAAGATGTGTATCCATGCCGAGAGGAGGCACTGAACCCTCCTTCCCTAGCTACTTGTGGGACCATTTATGGGCCATGAGTAACCAAAGAAATCATCGCGGAGTCTAACGAGGAGATGAACGTTGACAAAAAGATCCCAACTTTTCTCCCTGTAACACCGAATCAAGAGCTTCTCAGTTCTTCAATTAATTATCCTGTTAACAAACTAAGGAGGGTGCAGCCAGGAAGCGATTTATCGTCTCCTCAAGATCAGAATAACTTATGAATCTGCCATGCATCAGATTCTTGATCAGCAGAAGTAGATCCAGCACCAGGACTGGAAACAAACTCCTTCTTAGCAGGTCAGCAAATGCTTATGCTCAAACGATGATTCAGCCAAACAAAAGACGAAAAAGCCCTGCAAGGTTTAATTTAATGTATTGTGGTATAGCTGACTCACAAAGGCCTCAATATGAGAAGGTTTCTGCGGCCATTAAGGTGGAGAGCTTGCACCTTTAACAACCGAAAACCTCAATATCGACCAATCAGCTGAAATCTCTTCTGTATGTCATTTTAGCTGCGGTAGAGATTACTCCAGAAGATAGTTCAAAGGCAGATACTTTCGGAACTGCTCGGACGGATAGCTGTATGTTACTTGAGATATCAGGGGAGTTTCTATAGGCTGATGGGTACAGTTAGTACCCTGCTTGGGAGGGCTTCCCCTGAAATGCATCACAGGAGACCTACTTCCAATTTCAGTTGCTTACCTACCTGATGAAAGTAGTCACAGACTGACCACTGATCAGGTCTTCATTACATTCAGGAATATGTACCAGGGTCTGTTGAACTTGGATACGATTATTCTTCACAAAGAAATTCAGGTACTGGAGCAGAACACAGGTTTTCAACGTCAAGACAGATAATTCCGCTTTCTGCTTTGATAAGTTAATTGAGGATTAAAATGGACACCAATATGTCTTGGCACAATCATGTTACTGGAATCGCAAAGGCTGCTTTTCAAAAGCTTGCAACACTGTTCCGAACCACACACACACCTCAGCAACTTTTGATGATTTACAAAGGTCAGACCAGACCTTCTTTGGAGTACTGTTTTTATGTATGAAGCTCTGCCCCCAAACATACCCTGAAGTTGCTGGATTCCATCCTGTAAAGAGACATCCGCCTGCCTGGAGAGGCGATCTTTACGTGCAACTTTGATAGCCTGGAACATCGTAGAAAGGTTGGAGATTTGTGTTTCTTCTACAGATACTCTTACGGGAGGTGTTCAAGTGACTTGGCACATTTTATTCCACCAGGAGCGGTACATTGTTTTGAGTTTTGAATCAGTAAACCTCGAACTTCACTGATTAAGAACTCTTTCATTTGGAGAACTACGTTTATGTGGAATAAACTTCCCGATAACGTTTTTCCAAATGAATTTAATCTCAAGCGATTCAAATCCAACGCTACTTTCGCACAGGCACCGCTCTTAGAGCGCCTTAAGGATTTTCCTGTAGTGCTTGTGTTTTGTCCTTAAACAAAGGCCCACTTTTGCCATCCAATCATAAAGATCACACATCAAATAAATGATTCACCTTTATTCAGAAGCTAAATTGATTTGGTCGTTTGACCTAATTAAATAAATAATGTGCATAAAAAAATAAAATAAAATAAATACGTACAAAAGCCAATCGACTCTAAGAATACCAATTACCACACGTGAAAAACGAAACAAAAAATTTCGGTACTTACTGAGATGTTCGGGCGCAATGAAATGCATATTTTTGAAACCGTCCTGGCACGTTTTAACATGATGGTTTATCGAATCGGGAGCCACTAGAGGAAACGAAAGTGGAAATTAGTAGAAAGTTTTTAGCTACAAAATGGTTGGCTGATAGGAAAAAATTAACAACAAACAGACCATCGAACCATTCTCGAATACTGAATGTAAAAAAAATATTTGAGGTTAGTACGCCCAAAAATATGTTTGAACAGAAATTAATGAGAGGATATACGAATTTTTCTCGCTTCGAAAATGATTAGGATGCACAAAGAAGGCAAACGTTTTACAAGATATCCATTCTCAAGCGTAGAGTAACGAGTGTAAGGTATCCGGAGAAAAAGTACCTTACATGCGCGTAACGCTTGAGCATGGATTAACGAGCGCCTTACAGTACACACCCTGTATGCTTGTTTCAGCAGTGTCGCCATTCACAGAATTTTAAAAACGATGCCCATTAGTTTTATATATGAATAAATGAATTAGATGTTAATCGAGTTTTAGAGATACGAGTCTTACATTTATAAATCATAGTTCTAGGTAAGTCAATCATCATAATTTCTTTCGAAGAGATAATAAACTTTAATTTTGATTAAAATCCTAAAATACAATTTTGATTTTCTATTTGTTCCCAAAATATCAAAGATATCAGGTGATTTCGTAAATAATTTTAAAATTGAATGAAAAATTCTTTTGATTTATATTGAATGATTTTTGGAATACTCTGTCTATTTCAATATTTTGACATAAAAATAAAGTTGGCATGCTTGTTCAGTCGTATTGTGATGTCATTTCAAATCATACCGGAACTTTTTTGAAAAATTTTGATTTTATGTTCAACTCAATGGTGGAAACCTGAATTTCTATTATGGAAAGCTGTTACAACTAAATCATACATCATTAAAAAAAACTAAATATTTAAAGTCGATTATTTAATGGTTCTATGTCAGTACTAAATAAAAACAAAGTATAGAGATAAAATAATGAAAAATTTAAACTACAAATGATTTTGTTTTCAATTTGATTATTTTTTCATTTTATGTTGATGATTTTATATCTGTATTTGGTTTTTACCTTTTTTATATTTTTAACTTACTTTCTTAACCACTGATTCGACATTTCAAATATTTAGCATTTTTGTAGGATTGGAGTTCTACACCTTCCTTTAACAGAAGTCCAAACGTCCACATTCGCAATTTGAAATTAGAAATATCCTGTTAAATTGGTATAGAAGCCCCGGTTTAAAATAAGCATTACCAGGAAGTAATATGTTTCCGCACATACAATACCTTCAAATGAACTGTCAAGAAAATCGAATGAAAGATACTTTTGAATATTATCATCAGACCATATGAAGCTCAGTTCTGACATTGATAAGAAAAGCAAAACACTTCTAAAATTTGGCAAGGTATTCCAACCTTGAAAATATTTGAAAGAAGTTACAGAACGTAGAGTTGGAGGTAGGTCGCCGAATAGTGGTATACAACAGTACTAGAAGAAATTTCATGGTAGGCTGCCAGATATATGGTATTGTACAAATTCCGTGTATGACTGTAAAAATGATGGGAGACAAGAGTGGTCACTTCAGACTGGAAAATTTACCAAGCTACAAAGGAACGAGTAAGATCAAAAGTGAATTACATTTTCGACACAAATTTCACGGTTACAGTCATAGATCGTTCAGAATAGATGGCGAATAGTCATCCAGAAAACATTCTTGGCAGAAATACATGTTATACAACCGAACATGGAAAAGGAGCTGGAATTTGCTATTTGGGCAAAAATTCACGTTACAACTACTGCTTGGTCAATACAGGCGAAAGAGTACACAATCTTGCAAATATTATGGATTATTTTGAGGCCTCAACAAAATGAGCAGATCACTCGAGCCACACTCGAGGCATTGATGAATCCAAGAGTGACATCAAGATGCGAAGGACCGGAAAAGCTGTCACGCCAGAAGAGATTGACCCTACACTGGGTGCCAGGAATCTCAGAAATTACAGCCAATGATGATAAAGCTTACGAGGGTGATAGACACGGGTTATTAACTCCATATTTGCCTTGAAAGAGCTGTTGGGGTACAACAACATATATGATATGAGACCATATCAGGAATTGGTTCAATGAGAAATGAAGAATTGCTTCAAGAAGTAAAGATCAGTACATAATAATTACATTACAGGGCTACTCATTGAACAATGTCGATTTAGAAGACATTTGAACAAAAAAAAGCTGTACAACATATATTTCAGCTGAAGGAACGCAAAAGGACAGAACAGCTTGTCATGCAAATGTGAGGCCGTAGATCACAGGAGGAAATCAATTCATGGACAGAAGAATTTGGTAAATGTCAAACAGAGGAGACACTTTCGAAGCAGTACTAGTCAATATTATTGAAATGGGTGTTATGAAAATGTGGAAGAAAAACCCCAAAAGCCGATGACGCTGCATGGACAGCACTCAAGCAGCAAAAAACAAACAAATGAATTTACAGTGACACTACTTTGTCATTGAAATATGCGATGAACTGAAGTTTTTGGAATGAAATATTTGGATTGGATAAACTTACTGTTCAAGTTAATGTGATTACTTGATGAGTATAATGGGGATTCTGCGCTTAGAATATAATTCAACAATTTCTTGGTGTAATGAATTTGAGGCTAGGGTGTGCAGACACCATAATATTGGAAAGATGTCAACGAAGCATTGTTGGCTATATTTTGCATGAACAATTGAAACAGAAGAATATGTTCGAAATGGTTACTGAGATTGCAGTTGACCACAAACAACAAGTCACTGAGGAGTGAAAATACCAATAGTGTTACTGTCAAAATAAAAAATCATATGCTATTATGTAACAATGAAGAGAATTTTGATCCACAATTACATTCCTCGGTGAAATCAGTATTTTCGACTAATTATTTAGAATATTATTTTGAAAAATAGTGAATATCTTTAATGATTCAGTAGATCGAAGAAAATTCAAAGAAAGTACCCTTTCATGAAGATGGGGAATCTACCATCTCATCGAAACTCAATGGTTTAGACTGCAATAATGAATCAATTAAGTTATCTAATATATTTTCATAAACGTCAAAAATCCAAGGAAAGACTTTTCCAACAATCATATCACACACGAAAGTCTTTCACTCTATTACTATTTTGAAGAATTAAATGAAATTGCAGAAAATATTTATGAGGTAGACTAACGTTTTTTTCAGAACCCTGCAACGATATGGGTTGCATAATATGATACCAAAATTTGAATGATTATGTCAAGTTACACAAGTGAAAATACACCTTTCATTAGAAAGTGTTGGACTGGAAGTTATGACCGAAATCATTCTATATCAGCTGTGCATAATTCGGTTATACATTAATTAATTAGAGGAAAACGAGAAGCTCTGGATATGAAAACTACATAGGAATAGGAACCAAAAAGAGGAAACGTGAAGAAAACCGAGGCGAGTAAGAAACATAAAGAACAAGAGATAGCATAGAAAGAAGATGGCTGGAACAGGGGGGTTAGTGCTATAATTAAATAGTCATGGCCAACTTAGCCCTCAGATTAAAAAATTGAAGCAAAAAGTACAAAAAATTCGAAAAAAATTACCAATCAGTGAAACCAGCAATCAGTAAGAAGTGTTTTTGGTTCAAAGCATGAATTCTTTGATCCAAATTATGAAATATTAACACAAAAGAAATGTCTTCAATTCCCTTTGAAGAAGCAACTAGGAAGAACTGATCACCTTTATATTTTTGACTTTGAAGGAGGTTGTTTCAATATTCCAAAGTTGCTAGAGAACATAAATGTCAAAAGTGTTGAAGATCACATAAGCGAGGCAACAACTCTGATATAACAGACTCAATTCAAGGCCATTGAAAACTTGAAGTAGTTTAGAGTCGACGAAAAGTGATTAATAAAGCTTTTGACCACAATTAAAGTAGAAAGCTACTAGTTTGGTCAAAAGATATCGAAATACAGCGGGTTGTCAGACCCGCAACATGAAAATAAATCAGATATTAAAGTAGTACAAAATATTTCTCAGCTTCTCTCCCTGAGGTCGAAAAAAACATTCGACAATGATTCCTCTAGACCTATGGCATTATCTCGCAAAAAATACAATCTACATTCATAATGAGCCTTATCGGAGACAGATGAAAAAACTGTTATAGCTAAGGAAGATATACTTTAGGAGACCACTCCAGACTAGAGACCAATCAGAAGAGCAGAAACTTCTTTTTTCGTTTTGTCAATGGACAAAAATCCAAGACCCAAAATATCGACCTCGAAATCTTGACGAAACTCTTTCATTCAAGGTCATCTAGATAATAGAAAAGTTGATGAATGGAATCGAAGTTGGAAAATTCATTCATCGAAATTATAATTGTGGGGTTCATGACGATGATGACGACAAAGAAGGAGAAACAGCAAGGGAGAGGAAGAAACATAAATCTTAACTGTACTTTGTTGGGTAAATTTCAAACCTGACCCTGAAGAAACGTGTTATAGAAAATAGAATATATGACAATGAATTAAAGAGAATGACAAAAATTCAAAGTTACTCTGGAGAGACTAAATAAAGCAATTGGTATTATTTCTTTCAGTAGCATAGGTGAAAGATGTCGAAACAACTTCATGTCAATTGAAATGAAAGATACTTCTGAATTAGATGCACTCTGTTTTAAATTCTATAACGTTGGGCTCTAGTTGAACATTCATCTTGTGGTGAAGAAATGGTGAACGAGATTCATGTCAGAGACTTTAATGAAAAATTCCGGCAATGAAAGAAGATAAATGAGGAATTCATCATAAATGGCAATCAAGTCGAGTTGATGTGCTGCACCAAACCTGTAGTTTAGAGCAGTATGAGGCATAAAGCAGAAGTTATAAGTTGCAGTTGTGAAAAGACATGGATTTGAAGTGAGGTAATACAAAAAATGACTGAAGCCCCTCTATATATAGTATATGTAAGGGTGCGAGCAGCAAAAACGAGACTGGACTCGACTATATTGCATACTTTTTCAAAAGTGAGGATAGTAACAGTAAATATTCTCTAATGTATAGGTGAATAGATGATCTGTCAAATCGCTTAGAATTGTTTGAAGTAACATCAATATTATCAAGTACTTAATGCTAGAAGTAACATCAATATTACTAAATACTACTGGATGCTGACGCAAATTTGGAATTTCAGAAATTAATGAGGAACGAGCATGAAACAACTTCACAAACCACATGACACAGAAGAGCACTTCCAATAAAAACTGCATGATCAAAGTCATAAACCGTGAGAGTGGATTAGACTCAGTTTTCCAGAGAACATGCTTGATAGAAATACTTGATTTACAGACGGGTTGAAAACCGAACAGGGGGCGTGATCTATATATATTGTACATGAGGAAATTCACATTACAGCTACTCCTTTACGAATATCAATATACATTCGTCTTCTAAGCAGAAGAAAGAAATAGACTGACTCTATTTTGGGTTCCAGGTCACTCTGGAATCATATGCAACAAAAAAAGTTTTGGGTGTACTAGACATGGATCATGAACTCCATATATGGGCACTGAATGGGGTCTGAATGGAAACAATTAGAAAATGAATAAACAGTGCTAGGAAAATACATCCGGGAACACACACAGGAAAATCTTCATAAAGGGTCTTGGAAAAAAACGGCTTCAACAGAGTTGCCTCAGAATAATTATTTCAAATCTTATTTGGTGAACATTTGAACAAAATAGTGCAGTATATTAGAGACCTTAATTGCAAGCAATGCATCAAAGGAACAGAGACAGCTCGTCATGTTTTATGGGAATGTGAGGCACTGATCACACAGGAGGCTAGTAGATTACGGACAAACCAATTTTTATCAAATTAATAGAGGAATTGTTGGAAAGATTAAATCATAAAAGGGGTGAAAAAACGCAATAGATCCATAATACTGTTGTGATTCTCGGAAACTTGGAAAAAGTTACAACTCGGGCGGCAAAGCAGCAAAAAGTTTGAAAAAATCTGGTTTGATGGGTTTAAACCTAGAGAGTGATTTTACCTTTGCTTTGTATATGAATATACCTGAAACATATTTTTCCAGCAGGTAAATATGTCATCTACTGTATCAATGAGAGATTCATATCTGGAAAATTTTTCAGGCTTATAAGGTTTATAATTACGAGGCCGGAGTTGAAAGAGAAAACAAAAACAGAAATATTCATTCAGACATTTCACTTCTTGATTTATGCACAGTAATATGAATCCTTTGTACATTTTTGAAAAGTTCACCACAAACTCTGAATCAAGCGATCTAACACACCAAATTTATCGGAAATGTTTTCATTTTATTCTCTACTTATTACATTTTTCAATTCACATCGAAACATTTCATAATGAAGATTTGTAAGTCTCCAGTACTTCAATAAGTATTATTGAAACAATAAAAACTTACTTCACCTCATAACAAAATATTATTCAGAAGATTGTTAGATGCTTCAATATGGCGTTAGAAGGAAGATTCAGAACAATTTTTTTCCACTCTTTTTGATCAAATTTCAAATTGAGTAATGTCGTTCACGTACAATTTTTAATCAATCTCAACTGTGCTGAATCTCATCAATAATTGATTGTTAATGAGTTACGATTACACTGACTGTTATTTTTCCCAAACTATCGTTAGATAATAAGCATTTATTAGCTCTGTTGAATTTCCCGAACATGTGAAAAAATATCTTTGGATGTAAGCACTGATAGTGACGTTATGGTAGGGGTGACATTTGATAAAAACTATTCCTCACCCAATCGAGATATATTTTGTTTAACTGAATACAACTGTTTCTTCCTAAATATATGCATTTTGGAATGTAATATATTCCTAATATAAGCATAATGACTTTCCCAGAACCAATGAAAGTTGATTAAATGTGGATGAGAAAAAAATGTATTGAAAAACTTTTAGTGTTTTAAGAATATGGATATATCAGGAAATATTTTTGGAACCAACACTTTTTCAGAAATATATATTTGAGGAAGAGCCGATATTCAGAATAAACATATTTTCCATTCAAAAGCAAATAAGTTCTGATCAAATGGCAACCCAAAATGCAGATATTATAATGTACAATGTGAATATGAGAAATGAAATAGAATAAATGTCTTCGAAATAGATCATCAAATCATTTCTATCACAGTTAACTATTTCTATTGAAACCATCTGAAACTTTGATCGTTTTAGAAGTTATCCTATGACTGATTATTAACAGAAACTAAAAAGTGAATTCAAAATAAAATACTTCATATATGTTTAAAAAGTCAATATGTTTGTATAAAAATATTCTAAACAGACTGATCCTATTATTGTGAAAAAAAAAACGTATAATATGAATGAAAGAAATCTAAAATCAATACTCGGAGTTTTCGCATCTTCAAAAATCTCGTACGAAATATTCTGAAATTAAATTGACGGGGCAGTGTAAAAAATAATTGAACAACGACAATCTGAGACACGCTTAACGATCTGCCGTCGTCAATGCTAACCTATGCAGCGATCGCCGAACAATCTGAATAGTATCAATCTCTCGCTCTTTGAAGTGACAGAAAAAGTAATTTTCCATGTTTTTCTAAAGAGAATTTTTTTGTGTTTTCAAAATGTGATTACCTGATCCGATCTTGACGAGCCCATTGTGCTGTATAAAAATGGTATCGCAGGTCAGATTGCCGTGGATGATTGGTGGAGAACAGGAATGCAAGTAACTGGAAAGAAAACAAACATTCTGCATTCATTGAACTTCGGCCACAGTGTTGCCAGACGGTTTTTTCGAAGAGATCGGGAAGAGCGTCTCGAATGTTAGGGACTAGGATCTAGGAACACAAAAAGGAAATGAGAAACAAAAAAGAGACTGTTTGCGGTAGGTAGTCCGACGGTACTTCTATTTGACATTTCAGAGAAATACCTTTGAGATGACTTCCTTTACTTTGGCACGGATTACTCACCTTACTAAAGTCCACTCGTTCCTAGCATTTATTTCAGCACTTGTGAGTCTCTGATGAACTAAACTAAAATCAGTGTCAATCGCAAGTCTTTTTTAGATGCTCGCAGAAGCAGGAAACGGCCAAAATACACCCACGCATACACACATTAGTTCATGATGCAAGAAATTAAAGAAAAATTGTGCAAAACTACGTGGAATTGAACGATAGCACTGCCGAAACGTGTCCCATAGGTACTTCTTTGAAATTATAGAATTAAATGGCTCCCCACTAATCAAATGTAATTGGACTTTCTGTATATTGCTCTGCAATTTAAAAAAGAAGAGTTTACCTTTCACCTATAAAAAAAATTATTCATCAGTGCGTCACCATCCTATCTCAACAATTTAACATTGAATGGCATCCAAAACTCTTGATTTGACACCAAATCAAAAGTATTGGGTTAGCAACAGCGAATTTCTTTCAGATCTCTAGCCCTTCCTCCTCGCAACATAATCTCAAAAATCGAGTTTATAATTATCAAAAATGTTTGAAGGATGAAGCGTCTGTAAAGAGCTAAAATAAGTTCAGTTATATTTATTGACATATTTTCTATCAGCATGATTATTTTTAGACTATTTTTAGCGATGGACTTAACCTAAAAGGGAATCGTTTATCGTATTTCTATTTTTCCATAACATCAAAATTATCAGCAAGAGCAATAGAAGAAATGCATAACCTTAATAATTCTTATTGAAATACCTTGTTTTCTTTATATTAGAACAAATTGACACCCTTCTATCACCTTTGCTTGTTTTACCATATCATTATTTACATGAATGTATGTATTTAGAGAAATATGGCGTAATTTCTGGTCAATACATGTTTTTGATGCATAAAATAGGTAATTTATATTGTTCAGTAGAGAAAAAAATGAAATACGACGGTTGCAATAACAAAAGCGTTGGAACACGATGAAAATCAAGGAAAAAAGAGAAATTCGGCTAATTTACGTTAGGCCTTCAGAAAAACGAAAAAATACATGCCAATACAAGATATATAAAATAACATTTGAACATTATTTTAGCTCATTAAAAACCATATATAGAATGATTGGAAAATCTGAAACTGAAATTTGAGGTTATGTTTGTACAAACTATGGAAAATTTTTGTATATTCTAGATTTATATTGCCCTTTTGAGGTTAAGGCGCTCGACAAGTAAGCTGAGGGATCAACACATTTTTTCAAAATCATACGTTTCCGGTAAAATTCCGGAAATACTAATTAAAAGATCAAAGCACTGAGGCAAATGCACTGTCACTGACCCGACAACATGTTTAAATCATTTTTACAAAAAGTCAAATAACATTCAAACTGTGAGGAGTTTGATAAACAAAAATTGAACGAACTCATATATATTTATTTTGGTATACTCACCATATTAGCGTGAAAAGGAATAATTTAGGTGGTGAGAGGTTGGGAAAACGAGTGGATTTCGGATCGAAAAAAGGAAAAAGAAAAAACGGGCTAGATCTGGCAACGCTGCTCGACGAACGCCGGCCAATCTCATCGCTGCGAACTGCTGAGAGAAATCGTCGAGTTTTCGTACCGGAAAGCATTTGGAGAATTTTGAAAAATTTATTGACCGCGGACGATTATCTGCAACACTTAGGATTTGAACCCGATACTTTTCCGAATTGCCGACGCGTTGCTCCAACCACACGAGCCACCGACAAATCAAAAGTGAAACGGATAATCGTTTAGTGTTTTTCAAAAATATCGTTTCGGTTTTACTAGGCCAAATTTGATTGAGACAAAACTCCGAAATGATAGATTAGATATTTACAGATATCCAGGACGTCAACTGACTTACCTTCGGGGTGACACTGCGAAAAATACAACAATACCAAATAGAAATAACCAAAAAAACAGAGTTCGACCACAATTATTCATTTACATACTTACAAAAAAACTGAATATTGTGGCGATACCGTATCAAATTCATAGAGATATAACTTACAAACTACGTAAATATACAATGCTGTCAAAATGGGAAACATATCTTACACCTAGGGAATGAAATATATTTTGCAGTTTTTACTAATTACGAAATTTATTTACCTCAGGGCTGAGAGGATTTGAGTACACCATCTCCTCCAAGCTTGCAGTGGCAGTCTCTTCACGTTTCGTTTGGTCCTCTTGAGGAATTGCTTCAACGAACCTGACGACATGTATTCTGTGATGAATATGACCTGAAAAACAATTGGACTGTAGAAATCATCCTTTGAAAGGGCAATAATGTTCCCAGGACTAGATAGATTCAGACAGTGGCATGTTCCAAACACCAATGGGTTAACATTGGGTAAAAAAGGCTGGCTTACAGCCGAATATCACAATTTACAAAACTATGCAATTAAAATAACAGACATCAACATTATTTATTGTTGAAATGATCTCGAAAGCCATAGGCATAAAACTTCCAGTCTATGGATTTTTTCACGTTCAGGGTCAAAATGATATTTTGTTGATTTTACTCCTAGAGTTCACCAAAATATGGTGAAAGGGAGGTATAAATAACTATGTGATTCTTTCCAGAGAATTTGTTTTGTTCACCAACTTCATGTTCAGAACCGACAAAATTTGTTCTGTTAACCGCTACAACAGCTTTATATATTGAAGCTGTTGAGAAATTGGTACCAAATGCTATTGCTACAACACAGAAACATGAATCATGCAACAATTTGTGCATTTCTTCCATTTGCCAGGCAAATATTGCAATATACTCAGGTAGACCTTACAACGCTTATTATTATTGAAACAATATTACTGACTTAATTTAAGGTGATACACGGTGACCTTCACACGACTAAATAATATCAATCAATAAAGTGTCACTTTCAATTGTTAAATCAGTAAGGATGCGTCTTCTCGTTCTAATCGTATTTGCTTTGCTCTTCGAGGAGAGAAAAGAGACAAAGAATAGTTTGAATTGAGATCTGGTTAAAAAATGTCTTCAAGAATGGATAAAAAATGGTTTCAATACCTAATTGGATTGGTTTCATTCGTTATTTTAAAGCACGATACAATTATGAAGAAGGCCATTTCACCATCGGAACAACTTGCAGTCGCATTAAGATTTTTAGTAACAAGCAATATCATTGGATACTTTTTATTATACCATGAGCAATGAGCATATATTATAAATCGGGCTTTTTTTTCTTCAATACTACTGCCATCAATGTACTCCTCATACGGTCAATCTATTGATCAAAATCGATACTGCGTCAATAATATTGACTACGTAGGGAGCCCTTAAGCTGAATAATTCTTCAGGTAGTCAATATTACAAAAGGTGAAACCAATGGAACTTGGTGTTGACACAGTTATTCATCCATCCTTCAAAAATATTTCATCATCTTTCATTCTGTTTCTTGTTTCCGTTTTCTCCTCGTCTTGATGACCGAACCAGATGAGATTAGAACTGACTCCTTTCTGACAAACTCCATTCTCTCTAAATAATATAACTGGAGTTTTTTCCCAACACCAAACCGTTATTTTAACACCTTGATACGTGTTTCGATCACCAAGTGATCATCTTCATTACTCCACCAAAGGTTCCAAACAGTACATCATAAGTCCATTCTTTCTGCTTATACAATTGCAAAATAACACTTCATGGATCAGTATTATTGAGTTGTGTGAGAGTTACCGTTATTTTGACATTTACTGTCTAAATAATATTGATTCAATAAAATTTATCGTCTAAGGTTAACCTCATTACATTTGTATTCCCATCTTTTCATGAACGAATTGTCTTGCGATGTTTTTTTTTTGTTAATGACAGACTTTCTCGAAAAGATACAAGTCGTTGTAGCTGACCTGCATGACAAAGTATCTTGTGAACTATAGATGAATCGCAAATTTGGACGAAAGTGATCTGATTCATCAATTTTGAGAGCATCATAGCCTCCTGCAAATCCAATCAAGGAAATGTCAAAATCTTCAAAGAAGCCACATTAGAGGTGCATCTCTGACTCACCTTTGGTGTTGGTACTGCGGATATAAATAGAAGCTGATTGAGCAGCTTTTGAATAATCACTTTAAGCGTGTTATTTGGTGCTGAATCATTTCTTCATATCATTATTTTGAGCTCATCAATTTGTTACCTCTAAAAGTTACCCATTTTATATGAATTTTCAAAATTCAACTAAGAACATGATAACTAATATGTAATACAAGAAGTATTTGTGTATCATTTCAAGTTTTTGAGTGATTCGATGCCCTACCTATAGGTTTGTCACTTTGTATCGTCACGCTTAGATTAAATTTCGATATAGCCTAGATAGAATTATACTAACCGAAGTTAGTTTATTGTCTAGGTCTGTCCGAACAATAGTTAACGGTTTGAAAATAAAATTAAAGTGTTTAAGCTGAAAACGACAAATTTGCGAAGTGAATGTATTACTTTCAAGAATATTTCAATTATATCATCACATTCTTAGCATTTATTACACAATTCAGTGTCTTTGAAATAGCAATCTTATAGACGGTCATAAATAAATTGAAATGATTGTTTCCGTGAAGAGATGGAGTGAGAAATATAAATCAGAAGAATATGTGACAAAGTTTCGCTAGGATTTACGAAGATGCTAGCATTTTACATAACCTCAAATCATCAACTTTTCTGTTCAGAATTTTACCCACCTTGAATTTCTGAGAATCGGCCTTTCAAAAGACACCCCATGATCAACAACCGTGTTTGAGCTGTCATAAATATATACTTTGTATTCATTATTCCCATTGAAAAATGACATTTGCCACTTTGTATACCAAGGGTCAGAATTTTTATTCTTCATATACTTAAAAGTCTATAGGAGTAGGTACAATGCCATTCAAATTCAGACCATTTGAGCACACATTTCGAAAATAAATGAAAAGCGTTAAATGAATATTTTTAAAATGAAAGTAAAAAAGAGATTGGAAAAAATTCAAGCAGTTATTAATATGTATTATTTTATCCCTAAACGAAATATTAATAACCAATTGAAATCCTACCTATAACTAATTATATTCAATTCAAATTCTTGTTGTTCTGCCAAAGAACTATTTGTTTATCGTAATTCATTTACGACTCAATGGAAATCACATTCAACGAAAAAAAATCAGGACTGTGGGCCGCTAAACTTCTGTTCATTCGATTTATTCAAAAATTAAACTGTATCAGTAATTCGAAGACTATTGTGGGAGTTTTTATCAAGGATAACAGCAGAATCATAACAAGAAAACTCTTGAAAATTGTATTTTCCTACATTGAAACTTCCACGAAATTTTTCGAATACAAATAGAACAGTATAAATCAAACTATACAAACACAGAACATTTTCTAATTCTGTTGAAATTTTATAACGTTCGCGGATTCAAATTACGTGACATCAGCGGTCATTTTTAATCTCAAGGGTAGAGTATATTTTTTGTAAATAGGTACTTAATTCCTTGATTAATAGTGAAACAAAGTTTGTTTATTATCAATATTAAAAAGTAAGCAACTATTACATTATTTATTATTTAATAAAATATCGGCTTTGCTAAAAGCAGTATTTCCGTTATTCAGCTGTCGCCCCTATACGAACGGCAAGTCTCAGAAGTTGAGAAACTTGTGCGAGCTAAGGACTAACGAGATCTTACCTTTTAACGTGTGATTCCTAATACGGTGACGATTAATATTGTAGACAACTATTCAAAACCAACATTTCGAACATTAATAAGCTGTTTCAAAGTATCAGATTCTCCATATCATCAAAAGTAAAATAAAACAAAGTGTTCCGATGTTATGACAATCATATTCGTCGATTGCGAAACTTTTTGAATCGAATACATAAATTTTTGGAATAGTGTTTTCACTTTAACGTTTTGAACAGTTCTTGTAACTATTGTAAATAGTTTTCAATATGAAAAATATGTTTTTGAAACAAAAAATAAAAATATCGATATGCTTTTCATTCTCAATAGAGTTTATACGAGTTGGAATATCAAATATAACGGCATTAGCCGACTCTCCCCCAAAGCTGCTCGAGAAATGATTTGTTAATAAATTTAACCTAATATTATGATGAGAAACTCCCCATAGATAAGCTCTGATAAGTTATAGCAAATGAAAAAAACTTATAAATACAAAATATTTGAAGACATACCCGTGGTTTATCGTTATGCGTATCAGTCCAATATCTATGAAATTTGACAATGTTCGGATGCTCGAGCTGGGTGAGATTTTCGAAAATTAGTTGAATTTTTTCCTCTTGGTTCTTGAAATTTTTTCTTTCCGAAAACTGGACCTCGTTCCAGACGACTTCAACGCCCTCTTCAGTATCCATGGCCAAGTAAGCGCAATCGATTCCCGGCACATCCCTCTGTTCCACCTGGAAATGAAACAAAGTATAAGAACCGTTAGCCTTCAAAGGTCTGGGGGTTGAATTTTGAGTCGAAATAAAAATTCTATTAATATATGTTTAGGCTATATTTTAGCAGGTCACGTGATTCAGTATTTCACGGAATCTAATTCTTTACCACATTTATAGAATCATTGGGATCACTATAATTTTTCATGCGTGAAAAAACTTCAAAACCATTTTTTTCAATATAATAGTAATAATGATGTTTATTCAACAACAAGAAATTAACAAAAAGCAATTGAACATTACATAAATACCATGAAATGAACATATGTATATTCACAGAAGCAAGTGATAGCTTGTACGTGAGAGAAAATCTACTTGGCAATTACAATGTAAGGGTTCTGCGATACTGTTCTTTTTTATAATCCAGAAATTAATTATAGGTCAGCCATGCTGAATTTTCCACATTCGGCAAGTTAGTAACAATATGTGTATTATTTTCACTATCGGTACTTGTGTCAGAATCGGAAAATGGTAGTTTTTCATTATTAATTACATGTTATTGTTCACTAGGTCACTAAAGAATCAATTTTTTCAAATTATGTTTGAATGAATTTTCATTACTTATCAATTTCAATTGTTATATAATTTGGGGCCTAGATACAACACACTTATCTGTCCAATATTTTTGTCACATTTTGGGAACTTCAACATTTCGCTTTTACCACGAGTGGCGTGATTATGTTCTATAGGTTTGAGCTCAATTATTGATTGGTGAATACTCTGAATAATTCTTTGGCAGTATAACTGTCTTATGTCGAGTATTTTGCTTAATAGAAAAAGTTCATTAATAAGAAAGGTGATTCTTTTATTCTGGATGATTCTCAAAACCCATTTTTGTAAAACATTAACTATTTCTAGGTGACAGTCAAGAATACCTCCCCAACCCAGGATACCATAAGATAAGTGAGACTGAATTAATGCAAAATAAACGGTTTTTAAGTGAAGGATATCCAGAAAGTTCGCTAAATACCTGAGTCTACCAATCAGTCCTCTAATTTTTTTTGTCATAGAATTAGCGTGAAGGTCCCACCGTAAATGTCTGTCCATAATAATGCCAAGATACTTAACGAACTCGGTTTCTGCTATTAGAGTATTTTCATCAATTTTTAGATTTCCTAGTTGAGGCAAATTATGTTTACATGAAATGAATGTCATATAGTAAGTTTCATCAATGTTCAGTGTGAGTTTGTTGTATTGAAGCCATTTTGTCATCGTCTTAGAATCAGAAACACAAAAAATTTAGGAAAAATAATTATCAACTTGTCATCTCGTCATCCTTGAAAATTCCCGACTCCCATGAAATAGTAAAAAAAATCATGAATTTTTCTCAGCATATTTCCATCAAATATACTCGTACATTTGAACAAAGGTAAAATATGAACACGTTTATCCGACAATCTCTGTAATATCATTGAAAATAGTCCAAAGAGTGCGAATCAACTATTTACAACTCGCGTTTTAATGGTTCAAGAAAATATAAAACAGTCCTACTACCTTAAATGAAAAACAACTAAATTTACAATTGGTATGAATATACTTTGATGAAAAATAAAGCCGTTATTTTTGTATTTATAACTTGCAATTTCTGAAAACTGATAACTGAAGAAAAAATAGTCGACAAAAGTTTTAAACTTCATTTCCCGAAAAAAACCTAGTTCGGGAAAAATTGAAGTCCATTTATAAAATATTCAAAACAAATATATCTAGATAGTCACGAAAGACCAATAAAATTTCGAACGCTAGACTATTTGGAGGATTTAACGGAAAGGTAATATAATTCAGTTTACATTCAGGTCGTCAAAGAAAAAAATGTGTGTCTCATGAGACTGAAAGAAAAGCAATGGATAGAATGGAAAATAGTACACGAAATGTACGGTGTAAGTTGGATTTGTACGACTCGAACATAAATAGGTGCAAGGTGACATTCGACATAGAATATACCTATTACCTGAAAAATTCGAATTGAAAGCACATGTCTAGTTCAGAACAAACATCCTAGAAATCGATCAAAAAATTTGCATGCAAACTGAAAGGTGATTGTACCGTTCAAACAACCATGTGGAAGATTTAAAATAATGTTATTTACATCATTAATTTGATAACAAGACAAAATTATTTGAATAAAGAAAATTATAAATCAAGATGGAGGTACATGTCGATACCACATACATTGGGACTATTCCTGAAAATGGCAAAGTACTATTCAACAAGAATGTTTCTGTGTCAGAAAATTAAAAACAAACGAAAAATTGTTTGTTAATCCGACCGAGTCATTTCAAATTCTATAAAAGCTACAACAAATATAAATCGCTTAGTACATACACAAAGCAGAACCGGAACCCAAAATACCCCATTAGTTACTGTATGAAAAACAGATAATCTCTCCTACCACACCACTACTCATTCAGTATTTGTTTGTTTTGTGAAAAAATGTCAATGATCCATTCGCTTTAACAGCTGATAAACGGGGTTCTGAGTCATACTAAAATGTGGCCTACAGACCTATCTCCTAATTTCGCCTACGTGCTTCTGTCAACGTCGGAATCGAAGCAAGCAGCATTCTTGACGCACCCACTTAATATTCTTTTGTGATATCGATAGAGACAAGAACGATGAAAGATTAGGGAGGAAGCGTCTCGAGAACAGTGAATATAAATGGGAATGACTTGACTTTGTTCGGAAGACGCTTCAACAGACAACTTTCGGAAGAGGGTTTTTCAATAATAACCTTTCGTGACATTTTTACTGGAAATCGGTAAATTCCTACGGACAAGTTGTGATGTCGTGTAGTGCTGTGATAAGTGCAACATTACTGAATACAAACTATTTCAAGATTGCAAGTTTTAAACTAACTTCGAAGATGGCTCTGCTATCCACATTTTGAGGACTTTCCTAACACATTTCTCAGAGGAGTACTGGACAAATATTACCGAACAAATGCCACTATGCTACTAACGCTGATCATAACCGGCGCCAATTTGTTTTAAGGGGATGTAATTTTTCGCATTATTTTTGCGTCTTTCAAAGAGGTATTACATTGAATTGGATTTTTTCAACTCGCTCCTACTGTTTTTATACCTACGTATTATGATATATGGCGTTAATTCAAATTGAAAGGCGAGCTATTTTTTATTCAAAAGTGACGGGACTCATGAACTTTGTCAATTCATTACGGCCATCTTGTTGAAGCTACATCTGTGAAATTAGTTGTCATTCATTCAGTCTGTTTCGTCAAAATACCATGGACGAATATAGTATTCAACAACACGTACAAATTATAAAATTGTTTTATCAAAATGGTTGTTCCGATCGGGCAACGTACCGTGCGCTTTGCCCATTTTATGGTCGGCATAATTGTCCTGCCGAGAAGACTATTAGCAATGTGATGGATGAATTTGTGTCCACTAGTTCAGTTAACGATCGACCCGTTCGTCTATAAAACGCAAGATATGCCGAAAAACATCGATGCTGTCTGTGAGAGTGTACAGGAGAATCCGAGGCAGTCGATTTCGCGTCGCTCACAAGAACTTGGTCTTTAGCAGACCACAACTTGACGAATTTTGCGTCGTGACCTGCACCCGTACAAAATTACTGACCCAGGAACTAAAGGTAAACGACCATAGACAACGACGTGTGTTCGTTGCATGGGCTCTGGAATAGTTGGCAACTGACCCAAATTTCCATCAAAAAATAATTTCCAGCGATGGGACCCATTTTTGGATGAATGGGTACGTGAATAAACAAAATTGTCAAATTTGGAACGACATCAATGCACATGAGATCCAAGAGCGTCCTATGCATCCCGAAAAAGTCACTGTTTGGTATGGATTTTGGGCTGGCGGCGTCATCGGTCCATATTTCTTTCAGAACGACATTGGCCAGGCCATCACTGTCAACGACAAGCACCATAGGTCGATGATTACCAATTTCTTTTGGCCTCAATTGGATTGGATCTGGACTCCAATGACATATGGTTTCAACAGGACGGCGATACATGCCACACAGCTCATGCCTAATTGGATACTGTACACGAGCGATTTGAGGACTTTTTCTTCTGGGGTTTCCTTAAATCGCAGGTGTATGCAAATAAGCCACAAACCCCAGCGGTCTTCAAAGCCAACATAACCTATGACATCGGTCAAATTCGGCCTGATTCATGAGCCAAAGTCATGGAAAATTGGACGTTTCGGATGCGCTTCAACTAGAGAAGCCGTGGCTGTTAAATTTCACACACAATGGCGCCAATAGTACTTTCAAACGAATGAAAAATGTCGAAGATATCTCACACACAAATTTTGTTTTATTTAAATTTAATGATAGGTAGCGCTTAATGAAGGACCCTATGGTTTTTTTGATTGGACTTTGTCTTCCAGTTTGAAAGAAACTTCTGTTGGGAGCTTATTTCGAACATAATTGCTTTCTTCCTCTCTCCGGAAGTTCCCCACATTTTTTGATAAAGATGGAAAAGTAGAAAGTCGAAAAGCTTTTTCCCCATTATTGCAGTGCCACTTGTCCGGCGTGCTTACCGGCCATTCTATCGGCGAAATTTCTATTTCGAATTTTCCAGACTCGGGATTCTGCCACACCAGAACCACCCTCACCTCTATTGTGAGGTAAATATTCCTCCTGATTTGAATGATAAGTGAGTCAATGACTGATTGACGTCATTCAACGAGCATATCCAATTTTAATATTTTGAGTTGTGATTTAAATTTATTTTTATCTATGAAACGATGAAACACTTGAAGGCTAGATAGCGTTTACAGAGTTTTACAGCGATTGAAATCATTATAAGTATTTCCCATAAATACTATAATTTTGATTTCGAAACAATGTTTTTGCTGAATCGGACAATGCCTTTAATTTTGTCATAGTACACGTTTTCTGATAATGTAGGTATCTATGTAAGCATCTATATCATCCTAAAATAAAAGATAAAAGACGTAAACAATTTTTTATATTTATGATTGCGCAACTAAACACATTTATTTTTTCCAGTGAGACTCCTTCTGGTACATTTCCTTTTCTAGGAAGCACCTGTAAAGTCTCTATGAAGCGTCCAACAGTAGTCTGCCATCATCGAGACGCTCCAATTTCCCTGGTATCTTTTTTCCATATCTTAACATCTTGGTGAAATATTTCACCTTGATCTACACTCACATCTCCTGACTCTTCTGGAAAGTAGTCGAGGTGGAAATGAAGAAATGGTAATTTTAAACTAATCAGGCAACCTAGAGCTTGAAATGCTTTCAACATTATTTTGACGATTTGTTTATAGTTAGGGTTTCTTATTACTTGAAAATTTCTCTACGAACTCTAAGAAGGCAATTCACCCTTCTCTTTGAGGATCCGCCATGGTTGTGAGTAATTGTGAATGTATATAAAAAATTCCTATCATTTACCGACAAAATTTATAAAAACGGTAAGTTATTGATTAATTAGATCCAACAAAAGTTTTGCAGTACTGGAGCGCAGAATGACACGCCCCTCATAAACAAAGCTCTGTTGAAACTATTTTTTGAACTCCGTTAAAACTACGTTTCAAACTCTGTTAAAACGCCGTTTCAAACTCCGTTAAAACTCCGTTTCAAAACACATGCGAAGGCGGATGCGATGGTTCATTCATATAGAATCTTTGGCCTTGCGGAGGAAAGACTCCGTTATAACCCTGAAAAAATCCTTTTGTCTCTTTTCATCTGCACCATTATATAGAAAGTGAATAAAAATATACTTATGATAGAGGCTACAATCTAGATACGATTTGTCCTACAATCGAAACAAGTTACATTTGTCATCGCCACAGGCGGTCCTTTGTTAATTCTTGGTCCCTAAATGCGAAAATGATACTAAAAATTTCCTAACACGCAAGATTTTTGAGTTATGATTTTTTCCACAAAAATTTATTGAACACGACATTCCAAATTTGCTTTTCACCTAAACTTAGGAATTTGTTTAAAATCTGGCAACACAGCGGCTCTGCCCAGTATTCAAATCTGCTTCTGCTGTATATGAGACTTGTAACGCCGCCTCTCAAACTTCCGATACTCGAAGTTTCCAGAAAATACCAGAAATACCGAACCGCTATAAAAGTAGCAGATTGATAATCGGATCATCAATATTGATTTAACGCGAGTAGTGGTGAGTTAGTACTAGAGAAGCGAGGTGTATATATTAAGAGTATTATATTAGTGTTATCTTTGTGAATAAAATAAGTTGACTTCTATTAACGCAGTATCACATATTTGAACTCGACGTACGTAACAGTACAGAAACGTGGTTGCCTTAATTCCGCAGATATTTTTTGCTATATATGTGGTCAGTTTACTTCTAAATCGCAGAAATGGCCAATTAATCAAATGGCCAAAGTAGCTTACCATAAGTATTCTGGATGTGTTGTTGGTGATAAATATCGGGATTGGGATCCTCACGTATGTTGCCAAACCAGTGCAGCAGATCTAAGTAACTGGTTAAATGGCGAACGCTCTTCTATGCCTTTTGCAGTTCCAATAATTTAGTGAGAAACAACAAATCATTACAACGGCTGTTACTTTTGCATGACAAACGTGTCTGGTTTTTCAAGAAAGAGCAAATACAAAATTGTATATCCGGATATTCCTTCTGCAAGAAGGCCGGTTTTTCATGGAGAAAGTTCTAACACCCCCGGCAAATTGGGAGGGAGATTTGGAAATGTATGATGACCAGGCAGGTTCCCATGATGTGCCAGAAAAAGACGGTCCTTGTTTTTCCGAGAGTGAAGGAAAAGCACCCTATTTAATCGAACAGCCTGAATTAAATGACCTAGTTCGGGACCTCCACATGTCCAAAGAAAATGTTGAACTACTAGGGTCTAGATTACAGCAATGGAATTTACCAGCCCCTAAAACCAAAGTTACAATATTTAGGAACCGTAACCATGAGCTATTCTTTTTTTTACTATGCAGGATAAAATGTGTGTTTGTGTAAATCCAAATGGTGTGATGGAAAAATTAGGATTTGCACATAACCCGGACGAATGGCGTTTATTTATAGATTCGTCTAAAACAAGTTTAAAAGCCGTTCTGCTCCATAATGGTAACAAAATACCCTCTATTCCTCTTGCACATGCAGTTGTCATGAAGCTAACATACTCATTCTAAATGCAATAAGTTAAAATACGTATAAGTGGCAAATATGTGGCGACCTAAAAGTCATAGGACTATTTATTACTAGGTCTTCATGGTGGATTTACGAAGTTTTGCTGTTTTCATTGCCTTGAACAGTAGGGCAACACAGAGCCATTATCAAGTAAAAGAATGGCCTCCGAGAAATAAATATTTTCCAGATCATGCTAACGTGAAGAATATACCTCTGGTTAATCCCAAAAACGTTTTGTTACCTCAATTACACATTAAACTGGAGTTAATGAAAAACTTTGTGAAAGCATTAGAAAAAGAAGGGGATGCGTTTAAATATCTTGAAACGTTTTTCCAAAATTAAGTGATGTAAAGCTCAAGGAAGGTATATTTGTTGGACCACAAATTAGAAAACTACTAAGTTATCAACAGTTTAATCAAAAATTAAGTAATGTTGAATTAGCTGCGTGGAGTTCTTTCAAAAGAATTGTTTCGGAGTTTTTAGGGAACAAGAAAGTAGAAAATTACGAAACACTTGTTGAAGAACTACTTGAAAACTACTGCAGAATGGAATGTCGCATGTCTCTCAAAAACCATTTCTTGCACTCCCATTTGAATTTTTTTCTAGAAAATTCGGGTGCTGCCAGAGACGACAAGGAAAAAGGTTCCACCAAGACATACTGAAAATGGACAACGTTACCAAGGCAGATGGGATGGATGGGGGATTATTGTTGGTTCCTTATGAGGGAAAACGATGAAACATATAAACGAAAGTCAACATTTGCAAAAAGGTTATGCACAAAAGACTTCATTTGAATGTTTTTTCATGTGTATATTGTAAATAAAGTCTGTTATCCTCAAAATATATTGTTTTTTTCTTGTTTTGATCTTATATTTCCCTATAATATGTGAACATTTTTGTATAAAATAAAAATAACTATAACTCAAAATCTTTACGTGATGGAAAATTGTTGATGTTGAAGTCGCAGTCAGGATCCTTTCTCATGTATAGCCATTATAATATTGGTCGCATTTTTTTGTTATTTGTTGGCTAGTGTTATTTTTAATATTAAGTTTCAAATATGTTTCAATTCTAAAATTGAGAATTGATATTAACTTAATCATAAAAAAATGGCAAAAATGGGTTGCAAAACAACAGCAGACGGGGTTGAATATGTGATGTTTTCAAAATGACCTTCTGTGACATTTCATCATTTCATTATCAGTTCAGTTACTGAAG